CATAGCCCCCTGCTGCACCCCACATCCCAACCCCCTGCCTTGAGTCCCCTAGCCCCCTACTTTGAGCCCTCTCCCGCACTCTTCACCAACTCCTGAACCCTAACTCCCTGCCCTGAGGCCCCAACCCCCTGCCCATAGCCCCCTGCTGCACCCCACATCCCAACCCCCTGCCCTGAGCCCCCTAACCCCCCTGCGGCACACCTCCTGCACCCCAACCCCCTGCTCTGAGCCCCCTCCTGCACCAAGCCCCCAACCCCCTGCCCTGAGCCCCCGCCGCATCCTGCACCCTCCTGCACCCCAACCCCTTGTCCTGAGCCCCTTCCTGCACACCGCACCCCCTCCTGCACCCCAACTCCCTGCACCAGCCCTACATTCATGGCCCTGTATACAATTTCAGATGTGGCCCTTGGGCCAAAAAGTTTGCTTACCCCTGCCCTAGCCCCTCCCACTAAAGAGGATGATCTGAGGAAAACTTCTATTAACAATCATGTCCTGGAGTTTCTTGGATGCACTGCGTCTCTTGTTCCTTCCATGGGTATCTTTGCAGGAAATGATGGTTTGACTATTGTGCTTTAAAGTCCTGGTGACTGTGTCCCTGTTTCCTCTCCCTGTATCAACATTCAGTCAGTGTTATCAGAGTTGAAAATTAGTTGCTTCCAAGACTGCAGAGCATGTCAAATTATAGAAAGGATCTCTTAAACCAGAACAGAGTAATTAAAACACAATCTAAATTTACTCCTCACTCTAGAGATCCTAATCCATTTTCCTGTGTCTGTCTTTTAAATTATAAACTCTTTGTGGCAAGGGTTCATTTTATATTTGTGTCTTATACTTTTTCAGTTCTTAGCAGAATAATAATAATAGCAGCAGCCCCAAAACTAGTCTACAATCATAGTTTGCAAGTAGGCCAAAGTATATCTGTATTCTAGTGCATTTAGAAAAAAATACATTAGGGCTGCAAAATACAGTGGAGCAAATAAGCTATGACAATATAGAGAGATATGGAAGTGACTCAAAGCAAGTTAGAAAAAAAGAATCTCTGTTTATTCAGAACTGAACTAAATGGGGAATTTGACATATTGATCTGACAGTATTAAACCTTAACATTGTATTATTTTGACGGTTTTGTACCCACATACTTTAACATCACAGAGCTAAAACTATGGTGTTGCATGCCCAGTTTATCAAAAAACTGTTATGAACAAAAGAGAAGGAATTTGTTTCTTCATCTTCTTCATATTTGTGTTGTTGATTCCACATTTTATTTTAATCTGAAAATTAATCACATTTTTCATTCAATCAGGATACATACGCATGTTATTAGTTGGAAACACAATGCACTATTAATAATAAGGGAATGTTTCATTTAAGCTCCAGAGCTCTGGTTAGGTGAGGAGCCAAGTGCTTCCTGAAAAGGAGACAAGGGTCTTTCAGGAGGTGCTCAGCACCGCTCAGGACTGCACCCCAGATCTCTGATATTTATTTTCTATTAATATTTTAAAAGATTTTCAATATGTTTCTGTTGCCTTCATTAAATAATGTGATGGTTGTGGTGGCCAAAAGAAAAATCTAATCCTTCCTGTGCTGCGCACCTCCTGCCAGGCATTGAGTGCCCTCAGTTCCCAATGAGGTCAATAGGTTGAGGACATCTTGCAGGACTGGATCGCCTATCCCATTAGCACCCTCTAACTCTCATTGACTTCAGTAGGAGTTGAGAATTCTCAGTCTCTCTAAAGAGGTTTTCAACACCTTTCACAATCAAGCCCTTAATTTCCAGTGAAAATGGCTCATGCAAATGTATATAGGCTTGTAGAAAAAGTGTGTGTTTTCTATTTCAAAAGGTACTTAGTCAGAATGTTGGGTCTGATCTAGTTTACAGTAATGGAAATTAGAAGTAACAGTGATGGGGTTAACATCAGAGTAAAAGAGAT